TACCTCACTACCCACCCACCCACCCCTTCACCATTACTCAGGCCCTGTCACCATAACTATGCCTTACTACCCAGCTTCCATCACCATTAACTACCCAGCCCCCTTCACCATTAACTACCCAGCCTCCATCACCATTAACTACCCAGCCCCTTCACCATTAACTACCCAGCTCCCTTCACAATTAACTACCCAGCACCATCACCATTAACTACCCAGCCCCCTTCACCATTAACTACCCATCTTCCATCACCATTAACTTACCCAGCCCTTCACCATTAATCCTAGCCAGCACCATCACCATTAACTACCCAGCCTCCATCACCATTAACTACCAAGCCTCCGTCACCATTAACTATCCAGCCCATAACCATAATACCAGCCTTCACCATAACTACCCAGCCTCTTCACCATTAATTACCCAGCCTCTTCACTCATTAACTACCCAGCCCCTTTACCATTAATTACCCAACCCCATCACCTTTACCCAGCCTTACTTCACCATTAACTAACCAGCCCCTCTCACACCACTAACGACTCAGCCTCATCACCCTGTTACTCAGCCCCTTTACCATTAACTACGCAGCCCCTTCACAATTAACTACTCAGCCCCCTTCACCATTAACTACTCAGCCTCTTCACCATTAACTACTCATCCCCCTTCACCATTAAATATGCAGCCCCTTCACCATTAACTACCCAGCTCCTTCACCATTAATTGCGTAGCTCCCTTCACCATTAACTACCTAGGCCCTTCACCATTAACTACTCAGCCCCCTTCACCATTAACTATGTAGCCCCCTTCACTATTAAACGTAGCCCCTTCACCATTATGCAGGCCCTTCACCATTAACCACTCAGCCCATTCACCATTAACCTATCCAGCCTCTTCACAATTAACTTACCCAGCCCCTTCACCATTAACTTCACACAGCCCCTTTCACCATTAACTACTCATCCCCTTCTCCATTAATATCCAGCCCCTTCATCATTAACTCTCAGCCCTTCACCATTAACCACCCAGCCCCTTCACCATTAACTTCTCATTCACCATTAACTACCCAACCCCATCACCATTAACTACACAGCCCTTTCACCATTAACTACTCTTCCCTTCACCATTAACTACCCAACCCCATCACCATTTCAGCCCTTCCACCATTAACATCAGCCCCTTCACCATTAACCCAACCCCATCACCATTAACTACACAGCCCCTTCACCATTAACTACCCAGCCCCATCACCATTAACTTCTCAGCCCTTTCCCCATTAACTACCCAGCCTTCACCATTAACTACTCATCCTCTCACCATTAACCACTTCCAGCCCATTCACCATTAACCACTCAGCTCCTTCATCATCACCACTCAGCCCATTACCCATAACTACCCAGCCCTACCATAACCACCCAGCTCATCATTAACTACATCAAACTACCAGCCTCACCCTTCACCATTAACTACCCAACCCCATCACCATTAACATCCAGCCCTTCATCATTAACTTCCAGCCCTTCACCATTAACTACTCAGCCCCCTTCACCATTAATACCTCAGCCCCTTCCACCATTAACTACTCAGCCCCTTCACCATTCCAGCAGCCCTTCACCATAACTATCCAGCCCCTTCATCATTAACTCACCAACCCCATCACCATTAACTACTCCAGCCTTCACCATTAACTACCTGCCCTTCACCATTAACTACCCAGCCCCTTCACCATTAACTACTCAGCCCCTTCACCATTAACTACCCAGCCCCATCACCATTAACTACCCAGCCCTTTCACCATTAACTACCCAACCCCATCACCATTAACTACTCATCCCCTTCACCATTAACTACTCAGCCCTTTCACCATTAACTACTCAGCCCCTTCACCATTAACTACCCACCCTTCACAATCTACTCAGCCCTTCACCATTAACTACTCAGCCCCTTCACCATTAACTACTCATCCCCTTCACCATTAACTACTCAGCCCCTTCACCATTAACTACCCAGCCCCATCACCATTAACTACCCAGCCCTTTCACCATTAACTACCCAACCCCATCACCATTAACTACTCATCCCCTTCACCATTAACTACTCAGCCCTTTCACCATTAACTACTCAGCCCCTTCACCATTAACTGCAGGTAAGTAACTCACATATCAGAAGTGACAATAAGTGTGCTAATGGTAAGTTTGTTATCAATAGTGGTAATAATAATAATAATAATAATACCAATAACAATAATAAAACCAATAACGATAATAATATAATAATAACAATTAAGCTACAACTACTACTAATAGTCACCACAACTATGTCACGTCATCTCGACAGTTCAGTGATTCACGTGTGAGTTTGTTAGCTTAAAAATCAATGTTTGGCCCCACATGATTCACCCGTTTTGTTACCTGACGTGTATGTGTGTGTACTGTGGCAAGGTGGCCTCTAACATGACAAGGTTTATTATCATCATCATCATCATCATCATTATTATTATTATTATTATTATTATCATTATTATTATATGTGAACTCCGAAACGAGACTGAAGTGAACTATGTAATTTTCGAAAATTAATTGCAACTCGCGACTGTATCATTGTTACGTCATATATTGATTACTGGCTATTGAATGTATATTACGTCATTAGTTTTTTAATAGGGAAGACGATTAAATATTTTAAAGTTCGTGAAACAATGAGTTGAAGACGAGGAAACATGGGGAAATAATGATGGTAATTGTTAAAGATCTGGTAAGGTGTTGTTTAAGGTAAATTGTTTTGATCTTTAAATGGTCCAATTAAGGGCGTCTTCTATTTCAGGCCCATTAATCAAACCTTTAATAAAATATGGTAGCTATAGGATTATCAGTTGACTTGCTGGAAGTTACCATAAGATTTTCTGTAATTCCAGAAAATGTTAACTTTAATTACTCAGTGGTGGATCTATTCTTATATTTGCGTTATCTTGCGATTCGTGTTTACTTACCAGAGTAGAAACGATCAATAACAACCATTATACATCCTGGGCACAGTTTAACCGATAGTTCCACGAGCGCTCACTGACACACACACACTAACACCCGACCTCTCTGAGAGTCACCTCCACACTGCCACCCGCGATTCCGAGACACCACAACACCCCGTCCTGGCTCACTCGCACGCAACATGGCCAACGTTACAAAATTACTACGAACACGGCCGCGCAATCGTTAATAGTGTTTAGAATATAGATGATCCGAACCTAACCCTACTTCCCTTAGTGAACCTTGGTTTGTTTTGGTTAGCTTATTGTGTATTATACCTCGTTGGTTCATGTCGCTTGAGATTAAATGGTTTCCCCGGCCCTATTCGTGGTATCTCTTTTAACATTAGCTCCTCTGCCTCCCGCACCAGCAGTCCTGCCCTATATGAAGCTCGCGGGCTAGCTCAACTCTTACCACCAACCATCACTGTTCACTGACACTTGCTATAAAAACGAGTCTTATTTGATAACGCGGGAATGACTGCTTTATGATCGTGTAAAAAAAAATGCCAAATGCAAATAAACCGCAGAGTGTGGTATGAGATAGGAGACGTTTATCTACTGGAACACGAGGGTCTGAGGAAAACTTTAGCAATATGGAAAAAGAATTTATGCGAGTTACAAAGCGGGATTTTCCCAACAATTTAGAATACTGCTGTTTCACATATTCATACAGCCACTTTGCATCTCATTCAATAAACAATTTTCGCCGGGAAACACATGTAGTGGGTAACATAACACGGCCACACGAGTATTATTACCTCTCGTTAGAAGGCAAATTCCCCTGATAATATTACCACTTCAAATAACATTATCACCTACAAGGTTTTACGATTGTCAAAAGTCGTAAGTTAAATTTTCCTCGTAAATGAAAAGTCAAAGAACAATTAACTTCTTTACTCAAGCAAAAAAAATAAAAACGTTCAAAATAGCGACATAATTGCGCTGAGACTCTCTACCTTCCACATCCTCATAGCTTCAATTCAGTTACCAACCTCAAGTTCCTCTTAAAAAAATATAAATAGAATAAAATCTTTCTTTTTATTTAATTTTCTTTACTTTGTCTATTTTCTTATTTTTGTTCTTCTTCCTTTATTTTCTTATTCTCTTATTTTCTTATTGTTTCTATTCATCTTCGTTTTCTTTCTGTCTTCAGCCAATTACATCCGACCGTAAAAAAATCCCATTTGACACCGATACAAATTATATTGATCAGAAGTAACAGAAGTAATTAGATCGTCTTAACAGTCTATTTAATTACCATTATTCCCTAAAGAAAGTCACAAAGCCTTCCTGATAATTAATGCCACAACAAAATTAATTACAGTTAATGCTCTCTACACGCCCCCTTGACTACACGCCCATTATCTACACGCCCCCTTGACTACACGCCCATTATCTACACGCCCCCTTGACTACACGCCCATTGTCTACACGCCCCCTTGACTACACGCTCATTGTCTACACGCCACCTTGACTACACGCCCACGTGTCTACACACACCTACATGTCTACACGCCCCTTGTTTAAACGCCCACTTGTCTACACGCCTAGTTATCTACACACCCAGTTGTCTACACGCCCCTTTATCTACACTCTCCCTTGTTTACACCCCAGTTGTCTACACCCCAGTTGTCTACACGCCCGGTTGTCTACACGCCCAGTTGTCGGCCGCCCTTGTATCCACACACCCCCTTGTCTACATGCCCAGTTGTCTACACGCCCAGTTGTCGACATGCCCTTGTCTACACACCCAGTTGTCTACACCTCCCTTGTCTACACGCCCTTGTCTACACAGTTGTCTACACACTCCTTTGTCTACGCCCAGTTGTCGGCACGCCCCTGTATACACACACCCCACCCAATACCACATGCCCAGTTGTCCTACACGCCCGGTTGTCTACACGCCCAGTTGTCGACGCCGCCCCACTAATATACACACCCCCTTGTCGACGCATGCCCAGTTGTCTACGCCCCGTCAACATGCCCCTTGTCTTCACGCCCAGTTGTCACCACGATTCCTTGTCTTCACGCCCAATTGTCTACACGCGCCCAGTTGTCTACACGCCCAGTTGTCTCGCCTCTTGTCTACGTCCAGTTGTCTACGCCCAGTTGTCGACACGCCCGGTTATCTACACGCCCCTTGTCTACACGCCCAGTTGTCTACACGGATTCTCTGCATGCGCAATACACGCCCAGTTGTCTACACGCCCAGTTGTCTACACGCCCAGTTGTCTACACGCCCCTTGTCTACACGCCCAGTTGTCGCCCAGTTGTCGGCCGCCCAGTTGTCTACCGCCCCTTGTCCCCTGCGCCAGTTATCTACATGATTGTCTACCGCCAGTTATCTACACGCCTGTCCCACGCCCAGTTGTCTACACGCCCAGTTGTCTACACGCCCCCTTGTCTACACGCCCAGTTGTCTACGCCGTTGTCTACGCCCAGTTGTCTACGCGCCCAGTTGTCTACGCCCCCTTGTCTACCACGCCCAGTTGTCTACACGCCCAGTTGTCTACGCCCAGTTGTCACCTATGGTGTGGTGGCGTGGATTACCTCGCGGGTCGTACACCCACACACTTCATCTCTTTACCCACATATCAAACTGTGTCTCTGCTCAGTCTCCAGGTCTCACATCTCAACTCTCTCTGATATCTCTCTCCATCTCTCCTCCTTCTCTCCTCACTCATGCTGAAAAAGGCTACCTAAATATTTACCTTCTCCACCCACGCTGTCCCTCAACCTGCCTCAACTCACATTTTCACTGTCAACTTTCCTACTCAAACATAATCATGTATACCCATTTCTTCTTCCTCTCTCTCTCTCTCTCTCTCTCTCTCTCTCTCTCTCTCTCTCTCTCTCTCTCTCTATTTTCTTTCTTTCGTTCTCCCGTAGTGAACAAATTTGGTCACTTCTGTATTGATTTATGCAAAAAAACAAAAACAAAAAAATAATAGCAAGTATCGTATGCAGGGAATAGAATAGTTAACGCTACTCTCTGCCTCCATCACAACAGCGAAGGAGACAAGAATGTGACCCGCCGGAACCCCACCTCAATGTCCTTCAATATTTTCCTCAACCTCTGTATCGATGTGTTGTGTGTACAGTACAGAGGATGATCTGAAATACACACTTTTATCCCTCGTCTACATTTTTTACGCCCTCTTGTCTACACGCCCTCTCGCTACACGCCCTCTTGTCTACACGTCCCTTTGTCTACGCGCAGCCTTGTCTACACACCTTCTTTTCTACACGTCCAGTTGTCTACACGTCCCTTTGTATACACGCTCTCTTGTCTACACGCCCAGTTGTCTACGTGCCCTCTTGTCTACACGCCCCTTTGTCTACATGCTCACTTGTCTAAACGCCCAATTGTCTACATGCCCAGTTGTCTACACTCCCTCTTGTCTATATGCCCAGTTGTCTACACGCCCCCTTGTTTACATGCCCAGTTGTCTACACGCCTAGTTGTCTACACACCTTCTTGTCTACACCTCCTTGTCTACACGCCTAGTTGTCTACACGCCTTCTTGACTACACGCCCTCTTGCTTACACACCCTTTTGTCTACACGTCCACTTGTCTACACGCTCCCTTGTCTACACGCCCCCTAGACAGCACGCCCTCTTGTCTACACGCCCAGTTGTCTACACGCCTTCTTGTACTGGTGAGACAATACCACCCTATAAGACCTCAATATGAACTCCACTGTTCTTTTGGTTAACTTTGTAACCTTTATATCGATTCATTAAAACAAAACAGTGTGAAGAGAACAGCATCTGACATACCACTTGTGTCTCTCCCTCACAACAGTCAATCGTAAACACTGAACAGCGGCGGCGTCAAAATACTACCCTGCAACACCTCTCCCTGCACCATCAACTGACTCGGCATTTTCTTTATTGATTCCTGCAATAAAAAAGTGCTTGGTACATAAGGCGTAGGAGGTGAAATACTACTTGTACTCCTCTCTCACCTCACAAAAATATGTCAACAATAAACAAGGTGGGTGACAAGATACGACCGTGCAGCACCCCGCCTGTGAGTGAGTGAGTCAGCTAAGTGTATACAATATGCGATTTTCTCACTGATGATAAAGTCTTTCATCCTATACGATGTAAATAAATAGTCACACTGTTCCTCACTACTAGCAACACCACCATTACTGTTACCACTACCACCATCACTGCTATTAACACCACCACCGCCATTGCTGCCACCACAATTACAAGCACCACCTTCACCACCACCAAAACAACCACAACAATTACAAAACCACCTTCACCATCACAATTACCACCACCACCACAATGCTCACTCATCACCAGTCTCCCTCCCTCAAGCCGTGCAGGTGAGGAAGGTCAGGCCAGGTGGGGAGGACTCGCTTACAGGGGTTGAAGGACCCGGAGGAGAGGTCAGAGGTCACGATCAAAAGTAACACATGAGTAGTGTTGACAAGAATCCTGAGGCAAGGAGGCAGGGAAGGAGGCGAGGAGGCAGATACACAAGCTGGGTGGTAGGCTGTCATTCAGGCAGGCAAGGAGGTAGGCAGGAAGGCAAGCAGGGAGGCAGGAAGGCAAGCAGGGAGGCAGACATCCAAACAGGGAGGCAGGCAGGCTGGTAGGTCGAAGGTCAAGTAAAAATGAATATAAGAAACTCCTAACTCAGAAATGCAGATCCTTAAATCTTGTAAACACATATATTCCTCCTCCACCCTGAAGGTCCTCCTCCACCCTCAACACAGCTCCTCAAGGTCCTCCTCCACCCTCAACACAGCTCCTCAAGGTCCTCCTCCACCCTCAACACAGCCCCTCAAGGTCCTCCTCCACCCTCAAGGTCCTCCTCCACGCACTACTGTGACTGTGTCATTACTAACACACTCCATGGTAACTGCTTTAAAATACTCTAAGTTATAATGGCCACTAGTTCTAATGGGCCCCAAACTTAATGCCTCTCAGTTCTAATGGGCCCCAAACTTCATGCCTCTCAGTTCTAATGGGCCCCAAACTTAATGCCTCTCAGTTCTAATGGACCCCAAACTTAATGCCTCTCAGTTCTAATGGGCCCCAAACTTAATGCCTCTCAGTTCTAATGTGAGAAAGGTAGGGAAGGGAGATAAGGGGACAGAATGGGAGGTAGGTAGAGAGAGAGAGTGCAACGAAATGGAGAAATTGGAATAACAAAATGAGAGAGAAATGGAGGGTCAAAGAGAGGAGAGGAGAGGAGGAGGAGGAGGAGGAGGAGGAGGAGGAGGAGGAGGAGGAGGAGGAGGATGAGGGATGAGGGAAGGGGGGGGGGGGAGTTGCTGAGGTCTTTTGTTTGTGTTCATCACCGACAATCCTCCACAATGGCGGTGGTAAACAAAGGCCTGATGATATGCGCAGTCTGGCATCCCCCGGCCATTGTAGCGACCTGGTGGTGGCCATTCTAGTGACCTGGCGGTGGCCATTGTGGTGACCTGGACACTGTTGATCAAACACACATACAACAACATACACATTTACACCAACAAAACACCCAAACACACTAAACTGTGAGTTGGGGCGACCCTCTATTACAGCAGCAGGGTGGCGAGTATTATTATATGCACGTAATAATACTGTACCACCATAACTACTGCTACTACTATTTAATTACTACTGCTGCAATTATTACTATACAATTATTAATAATACTGTTGCAAGTGTGTGTGTGTCTGTGTGTGTCTGTGTGTGTGTGCTCTGACATGATCTTTGTTGCCCGCCAGATACAGGAAAAGTTCAGAGAAGAGCATCGTGACTTGAACATGGCTTCATTGACCTTACTTAGGCCTTCAACTCGGTCAACAGGGAAGAGCTCTGGCTGACCCTCAGCCGTTTTGGCTGTCCACCAAAATTCATTGCCGTTGTGAGGCAACTCCACGATGGCATGAACGGCAGTGTCCTGCACAATGGCACCCAGTCTGAGTTCCTCCCCATCCAAACGGGGGTAAAACAAGGGTGTGTACTGGCACCAACTCTCTTTTCCATTTTCTTGGCTGCCTTCCTTACTCGTGACAGTGCCAATTTAGCCAGAGGGTTGGACATCCAGCACCGGGTGAAAGGTCTTATCAACATAAGATGACTCCAAGCACGAACAAAGGTGTCGGCAGCTTCCATCACTGAACTTCAGTATGCAGACGAATTCACCCTCATCGCTTACACTGAACGCGACCTACGGGAGACCCTAAACACTAACGCAGATACGTATGTACTCTTTGGCCTTGAGGTGAATGAACGCAAGACTCAGATTCTCTTTCAGCCTGCCCCAGGTTCAACCACACCTCCACCAACCATCCAGCTAAACAGTACTACCCTCTCTAATGTTACCCACTTTCAGTATCTTGGCTTCCACCTGTCCACCACCGTGGACATCGATCAAGAGACTTAACATCGGATCAGATGTGCATCTCAATCCTTTGGCAGACTCTGTACCCGTGTCTTCAGCTGTAGGGAGCTGAAATTATCTACAAAATTGCATGTATATCGAGCAGTGGTCCTCCCCACCCTGCTGTATGGCACTTGAAAACTTTCACCAACATAATCTACGCTTCATCCTTCGAGTTCGCTGGGAAGACAAGAGAATAAATACCGGTATTCTCGCTGACACCAAATGTAGGGGCATCGAGACTAACCATTATCCACGAACATCTAGTTGGACTGGCCATGTTACCGGCATGGACGACAGTACTGCCAAAACAGCTACTTTACAGTCACCTAATGAATAATATGTGTAACGTCGGCGGGCAACTGAAACGGTATAAGGACAGTCTTAAGACAAACCTGAAAAAGTTCCAAATCGACCCCATGATCTGGGAGACGATTACTCCACACCGCAATGCTTGGAGGAGCACCACATGAGAAGGTGTCAATACTTTCGAGTTAGCCTGACTGCCTACCGAGAAAGACAATCGCCAGCGCCGGAAAGACGTTGCCGCCGCCCTCCCGCAGTAGATGTAGCCCCCCACACGTGCAACATCTGTGAACACCATTTGCCTCTACACAGTATGTACCCAGCAGTAATTGGGAACCTGAACTTTAATCGACTGTCGGATCGTGTTCCAGTTCAGTTGGCGAATTGTCGAGTCATCTCGGGCTATTCCTTGACACTATATATCATACAGTTCATTAATTCAGGGTGTGGTTGTTGTGTTGGGGGCAGTTTCTACAGTGACTTAAATAAACAGATTCACGCCCAGGTGACTCCCGGGTTGACCAGCCTCCAACACCAGGGGCAGTGTGTGTGTGTGTGTGTGTGTGTGTGTGTGTGTGTGTGTGTGTGTGTGTGTGTGTGTGTGTGTGTGTGTGTGTGTGTGTGTGTGTGTGTGCTGAAGCAAGTATACTGTATCTCTTTGTCAACTAGCATGTGTGTTGTGTGTATTTCTAGTTATCTGTATGTATATTTTTGTGTATATTTGTAGATGTCTTAATATGCAAATGTGTGTATGTGTGTGTGTGTGTGTGTTTAAGACTTGTGTACCTTGTGTGTGTGTGTGTATTTCTGTGCATATCTATTCATACACTGTTTATTCATGTGTCTGTGGATATGTGTTCGTATGTATATATGTGTATATGATAATACGTCTATCTGGACTTATACACAGTGCCTGAAGTACATAGACAGTGTGAGGGTCAG